AACGGATTTATAGGTTATCATGAAACTTTTCTATCTTAGCTGAGTTTATTATTGAAAACTCATAATAATGTTACACACTAAATAATTGTTTGGCATCCCTCTCGGCTGATAGGAGAGAAACGTGATGGAAAACAGAAACAGCTAGCAACCCATGAACGTTAATTAACCCCCGACAAAGTTGCTCTCTAAAGGTAAAACAGAGCTGCAACATTTGTTGCAACCTTTATTGATTTTAAATTAATTTATTTGGAATTTAAACGTACCTATGATACATATTGTTATTTATTTGACTTTGGAACATAATATATTTAACAAACATATAATATGTAACAACAAAATATGTATAGGCTACTACATTCTAAATACATAATTGTGCAATATAATATTAAATGCAAATTAAATCATTCATGTAAATGAATTGAAATACTTTCTAGAAGTAAGAGAACTAATCTGGATATTTAGATATGATTTAGTAGTAACGTAATGCCCTATTAAGCCCATCATCGTGTTCTCAAACCTTAAAATACGAATTTATAAACAATTTTATTGGTCTTTATTGATTTGGAAAACATCATGGTTCATTGTTATCGAAACTGTAAAATCTTTATGTAAAACGAGCAACTTGTACTTAAATCATAACACTCTTAAATTCAGTCTCTGTGCGTGTTGTAAGAAACTGTCCAAATGTCTAAAGTCAATTTGTTGTTGGATAGCATAAGTTAACTAACAGCTACAAATGGCATCTGGATCCAGAAACAATCTAGCTTTGAATCAAACCAGTACTTCAGATTTGAAGGTGAGCACTGTAAGTACTCGGCTAAACAGACAATATAGTCGTCATAAAGAAAATGTATACGTGGTTTATCTCACAATAAAATATCATTTTGAGAAAGGAAACCTAACTTTTTATGTACGTATTTTCAAACGTATAGTTATTTTAATATAATCATGGAAGCTATTAGGTACGATAAATTTTTTTTGCTCAAATTTAGTTTTTGCTTTATCTCTTTATTATATATTATATTTATCTATTTCTTATATCAATATAATATGTGATATAAATGATACAAAAACACCACAAATTGAAAAATATGCAAATAAATAAAGACTTAGAAGTGCATTACTGTAACGCGTATTATAAAGTTAAATGAAAGATACTAACGAACCAAATTATATGAAGGCTATCTCTTTATCTATTTACCACAACTTAGAATCGTCCCCAACATTATGAGCCATATATGACTTCCGCATACTATTCAAACAGTACAGTAACCGTATTTAATCATTGTTGGAGCTCAGACATGAGTGGACTCAGTCTAATGACTGCAGTGCTATTGAAACATTAACAATAACATGGTCAACATGGCACATACAAACCACGGATACTAATGACTTTTAGGGTCTTTAGATGCTACGTGTATGTTTGTATTTCATGGACAATACTGAAATTGATCAAATTCAAATAAATTCGAGTTACTACTATTTATTAATTTAATATTAATTTAACCATAAATAATCGTTCCTTCTGCATCTAGACAATGAGAATTAAATTTGTTAAATAAAACACTGTTCAAGGTTCTAATAATATCAAACTCCATCCGTCTAAAAAATTTAAAATTGTCTATATTTTGTATTTTCTATATGTTTCTACATTTTCTATATTTCTAAAATTTTAGCTTGAAACCAAAAACAATAATTGACACCTACTATTAGTTTGGCATGAAAAATATTTAGCAAAAAGAAAAAAAAAACAGGTAATAAGTGTATATAAGTGTATTATATAAGTAATAGTGCATTGCATGATATGTGCTCAGTGCATTTATTACAAAACAATTTGAATAAGTACAGTACTTTGGTTATAAATAATGTTTCCTGTTTATAATATGTAGCTTACGTAGGTAATCAAATCATACAATTGTTAGTAGTATAAAGTCAATGGTAGTATTCTACCAGGACGTTTGCTTTGAAAACTATTAAGAGCTTTGTTAACACAACAATGCTAAATTATGTCAAGTGTTGATAAATCTGATAGCAAATCCTTATTATTGTACTAGTAAATTTTAAAGTCATCGGACAACAAGAAAAATGAGTGTTGTTGGGAAACAGGGGTTAACAAGCAAACCTGAACTTTAATGAATGCCAGGAAAACAATAATCTTTTGTTTCTTTCACGTTTAAGCGTTGGGGGTTTGGCTTTGTTAAGACCTTTTCTTGTTTACATGCTCCTACACGAAATTGTTTTTGTTGCTATATACGTATTAGGAAATTGACACTATTATTATCTTATCTGTCCTAATATTATTAGGAGTTTAATAATTGGGCGTGAAATGCTCTAGTGGTAGAGTGTGGACTGGTTTTAAATCATTTTCACCTTTCTTTTTCTTAAAATGTGTTTTTGTCCAAAAACCATTATTTTGGTGAATGAAGTTCTAAGAACGGCCTACTAAAAACAAGTTTAAACGAAAACGAACTCCTTGCAATTAAAAATCAATAGTTTCGTATACTCATAACCATATACAGATAAATATTTAATTAATATATCACAAGAAAATATGACTATCATCTGAATACAAAAAATATGTTGTATGTTTGCAACTTTGTATGAATATTTTCAAACTTACGCTGCACTACCATAGTAAGTATATTCCAGTGCTAACTGACCCCGTGCATCTCTCAACTGTCTCTTCAATATGATCAAATCAGGCACATGTCAAGACAGTCACTGAAAACATTATGTCACAAAATTAAGGGTTTTATGTTTTTAATGCTACTTTGAGATAGTGTATCTAATATTCGTTAATAAAGTTATGAGAAAAATAACTGTACAATTGGCAAATTTGGTGTAAGGTATAGGCCTAGTTATAAATTAAAGGAGATAGAACAGGAATACTTTTTTTGGTAAAAACATCAGGTAGGTTGTCCAGGGAGAGAGTAGTTCGAAGCTCCTGGTAGAAGGCCGTTAATTTTTTAAATGAAAAAGTTCTCCGTTTGCTTGCCTTCAGTGGTCCCATACATTTAGTTAGGTTAGGTGATTAGGGTATATATACAAATGGATTTAATAATTAATAACTGTAACTATACTGAAACATAATGCAAAAAGTCATTTTAGCCCGTAAGGTAGTACCAACTTCAGCGGATTCATGGTAGTAAAAAAATTAAAATATGTCGGGCAAAGTCAATGGGCAACGGCTAATTGTCTATAGTTTCACTTTATAGTGATTTTATTGGTAGATTAACTTTACCTATATTACCGACCGTAGATGGAAGAATGAGCAGTGAAGAACATAAAACCCAATATAATACGGATAGCAAATATCGCTTAACATAGCAAATATACTTGCTTACGTTAATTTAACAATTATTTATTCCTCAATTCAACCTTCATCCAGCAAGGTATGTCGATGTCTAAGTCCAATACATTATTGGGGTAGTTTTTGAATGCTGTTTGTGTCTACCAGATCAGGTATGAGAATTGTTTATAATTACAGTAACTTAGATGGACTGAACTGTCCGTTAGTGACATGACGTGTAAAATAGAAATCAAAGTATCGTTTAGATTGTGATATATTTAGTATCTGCTTTACTGAAAGAAAGTTTTAATCTTTTAATCCGTTTCAGCATACATTTTAAGTCGATGTGTAGTTACGTCACTTTATATGTTGCTATGCTTTTCCTAATATAAAACAAATTGAAAATTGAAAAAAGAATTGTATTTTTCTTGTAAAAATGGTGCAACTGTTTATAAATAAATAAATAAATTGTTTTTACCTTCTACAGTTTTTCAAAGTAGACGTTTTAGTTCAGTTCTTAGAATTAAAAAGTTTCACATAACAGCATTGTTTACTTTCATAAGAGCATAGTTTTACTTAACAACACGGGTAACGGACCAATGAGGTTCAAGGACTGAGAGAGGAGAAGTAAAATCGTAATGATTCGAACTTCAACTAATCAGCTGTTCAGGCCAATTTATTTTTTGAGTGGTGCAATTAGTGTTTGGCACAATGGTTCGTTGCATCACTGTAAGTGGCAATGAGAGGTTATACACGAAAACATAACCTCTCTTAGAAGTTGTGAGTAGTGGTTTTTAGTAAAGTGTTAGTAAGATAGTGTTGTCGAACACTATTTTTACGCAATAGTTGCGTAAACTACTACAATCTAATAAAGGAGAGCTTAAAGATCTCCTAAAAGCTGCGTCTTTAACTTGTCAATCAATATGTTACTCACAGTATCAGAGTTGTCGACAAGTGCTGCAGGACTTTCTTGTTTACTGTAATTGTCACTTAATGGTTTACCTTATTTCCTCCAAGTTTTTATTTATTTTAACGAGTTTTATTGATTTAACAGTAGTTATCCTCATTCTTTATAAGTAAAACATGTGTAATATGTTCGATTAGTTTTATATGTTGTACTTTATTCCGAATTTGAAAAGTATTTTAATTTAATTTGTAACTTAATAATCTAGTAAAACAGATATGAACTAAATACTAGAGCGCGTAATTTCATTTATTAAACTGCACTTTGGTAGGTAATAATGTTTTAAGCGTCCATTTGCTCTGATATTACTTGCGTACACTACCGAGGTACTAAAGAAAGTTTTATTAAGGAGATTAAAGCAATCAGTAATGGTCTTTAATTTCATGTCAAATATGAATAACCTTTAAATTGAGTATCGTAGATATTGGAGATATAGCATTTGAGAACTATTTAAACAGGCACAATTTATGATATAAATGTGTATTTAAAAATATACAAAGTAAACGTCTTGCAGTACCATACTTAACAGTGGTCCCAAAATATAGCATGGTTTCTGTTGTGACCGTACTATTAAAATACACGCACATTGTAACTTATATAACTTTATTTTTACAACATAGATGTTTTTGTAATGTAATGTTTTTAAAAGTAACAATAACAAGTGTTTTCTATTTAATATTTATCAACAGCTGACTATATCGAATAAAGATTATGACACTCTCCCTCACTTATTGAGAAGAACATAAGCTATTTTTGAACGATAAAGTCTCGTAACCAAGGTGGCTGTCGTCGTTGTCTTATTGGTCGTGGAGAGCGAACTGGAATGTTAACTTCTGTAGGGTGGTCTGGTTCTGGTTCAATATGGTCGGGTATTTGATCAGGATACGATGGAGTTTGGTTTGGAAGTCTTGGTACATCAAATGATTGCTTGGGTCCAAATGTTACCATCTTTTCTTTCATTACTAGAGTTGGTCTAAGCTGGTTAATGTGTCTCTTGATATTTCTTCCACTATCGAGTGTTACTATGTAATGTCTTTTTCCTAGCTTCTTCTTTATTACTCCAAACTGCCAAACTTGTCTGTTGTTAGTGTACATTTGAATTTGCACTCTCTCCCCCTCTTGAATCGATCTGACAGGTTTTAAAACAGGCTGGATATTTGATTTAGGGTGTTGATAAGGAAATATGGCATCCAGTCGAATCCTTAGTTTTCTATTGAGGTAGAGTTCAGCAGGGGTTTGGTTGCTAGCTAATGGAGTAGCTCTATAACGGAATAAGATTCTTCTCACTTTGTCTGTCAGGGTTCCAGGTTCTTCAGAAGCTGACTTTAATTTGTTCTTCAGGGTTTGTACGTTGCGTTCTGCAAGGCCATTTGTCGCTGGATGCCCAGGGGCGATGAACTTTTGGAATATGCCGTTGATCTTGCAGTAAGCTCTGAATTCTTCACTTCTAAATATTTTAGCATTATCAGAAACGCATTCTTTCGGATACCCATGTGTAGCAAATATCTTGTTTAACAGATTGATTGTGTTTGAAGATGTGGGAGCTTCCTTCAACACTTCGATTTCAGCCCATTTGGATCTTGCGTCAATACAAACAAGAAAGTAGTGATTTTCATAAGGGCCGGCATAATCTATATGTATGCGGTCCCAGTTATTTTCAGGTAGGTTCCACGGATGTACTGACACTTTAGGTGGACTTGCTTTCACTAGGGCACAACTTTTACATCCTTTAACTAGTCTTTCGATTTCACCGTCAATTCCTGACCAGTAAACATAGCGTCGAGCGAGTTGCTTCATTTTGGTTATTCCCAGATGAGTTTCATGAAGTTCACTGAGTATTTTGGAGCGTAAAGATGTTGGAATTACAATTCTGTCTTTTCGAAACAATATACCGTCAAGTAGGGTGTATTCTGAGTCAGTAGAATTGTTTTTCAGGGTTTGAACTATTCCATTCATTTCATGGTCTTTTGCGGTTTCTTCTTTGATTGTCTTTGAAGTTATTTCACGGTTGGATACTTGAAAAAGTGATTGAGAATAAAGCTGGTTCACTTCTTCCCCGATTTCTTGATCTGTTGAACTACTGCATGTTTTGACTGGAGGTCTTGATAAACAATCTACATTTTGATTGCTACTTCCCTTCTTGAATCGAACGATGTAATCAAATCCGGAGAGGAATGAAGCGTATCGCAGTAGGCGAGCTGACGTCATCTGTGGTAGAGCTTTATTTTGGTGAAAAATCCTTGTCAATGGTTCATTGTCTGTAACTAAAATGAACTTCTTGCCAAGTAGGTAGTTGTAGAAATGGTTCACACCAAAGATTATCGCCAATGCCTCTCGATCAAGTTGACTATAGTTCATTTCACTCGGATTCAAAGAACGAGACGCGTATGCTATCGGATGTTCAACTCCTTCGATTTCATGACTTAGTACAGCTGCGACACCTGTAGGACTAGCATCCGTTGTCAGGATGAGGTTTAGGTTAGGGTCGAATGGAATTATCACTCTGTCACTGCAGAGTTCCGATTTGAGTTTTAGAAATGCAGATTCACAAGCAGCTGTCCACATCCATGGTTCTGATTTCTTCATTAGACATCTGAGTGGAAATGTCATTGTAGAAAAATCTGGTACAAATCTTGAGTAGTATGTAACCAAACCCAAAAATCTTTTGAGTTCCTCGACATTGTGTGGACGTGGCATATCTTGAATCGCTTGAACTTTGGATGGAGACTTGCTGATTTTGTTATGTTGAACAACATGACCAAGGTATTCCACTTTTTCAGTCATAAAAGTGCATTTATTTCTGTTTACATGCAAGTTGTAGTCGGACAGTCGTTGAAGACATGCTTGTAGGTTTTGAAGGCACTCATCGAATGTGTTTCCATGAACAATGATATCGTCAAAATAGGCTTCTGTTTTCTTTAGTCCCACGAGGATTTGAGATATGATCCGATTGAATTCGGCTGGAGCAGTTTTTATTCCAAAACTGAGTCTGTGGATCCTGTATGTACCTCTGTGTGTCGAAATAGTTTGAATTTGACTACTATCTTCATCAACTTGCAGGTGTAAATAAGCTTTAAATAAATCAAGCTTACAAAAGTACTTAGAGTTTCTCAGGCTGTTGAGCACGTCATCGATGCGACGTATTGGATGATTTGCTTGTACTAATCTGTCGTTAACCCCACATTTGTAGTCAACGCATAGGCGGATTCCGCCGTTAGGTTTGGGTATTACAACAAGAGGTGATCCCCAATCCGAAGTTGTGACTTGGAAATTATTCCTTCAGCTTCAAGTGTATCTAGTTCCTTTTCAACTTGTTCTCGTAGTGCATATGGCACATCTCTTTCCCTCGTAAAGATCGGTTTTGCGCCTTCTCGAAGTTGCAGGGAGACTTTAAAGTTCGGAACGCATCCTACTTTTTCTTCAAAAATGGGAGCAAAATTACTTAAAATTTCGTTTATTGAATTTACACTGTGAATCGGAACGTGGTTTGAAGGTCTCTGAAACATTTCCTCATACACCTGTCGAAGCTCGATTTCTAACCCTCTAATCCACTGTCTACCTAACAAAGCGTCATGTCCTGCAGGTACGATGTGTAGTTCACCATCTATCTGTTTACCATTGTAAGATACAGTAACAGATACCTTCCCAACAGGTTTAATGATGTTACCTGTGTATGAACGAAAGCAAACATTAGAATTCTGTAGGGGAAGGCCAAGCTTGAGTTTCTTGAAATCACTTTCTGAAAGTAGGGAAAATTTTGCACCGGAATCGACTTCAAAACGTTGACTTTTGCCATTTAATTCTACATCAATGAGGTATTTGTCGAGATCAGGAGTCATTTCAAAAAGGTCTACTACAGTACAATTCATGCTATGAATGCCGTATGTTAGGTCATGAAAAGGTTGATTGGACTGTTCACTATTAGTATCTGAATTTAAATACGGTTCAACTGAATCTACTTTTGAATTTTTGAGTAGTGATTGAATGCAAACTTTTGATACATGACCTTACCTTTTGCAGTTATTACACGAGAGCGTCTTATAATCTACTCTACAGTTACTTGCCTTGTGACTATTTCTACCACAACGCAAACATACGTTTTCAATTCCCAAGGCCTTGAAGTCGATGTACCTTTTTCGGGAGACAGATCTAGACGATCTAGACTTGTAGTTTTCAGGTGAAGATCTGTTGTTTGCATTTAATCTTCTGTTTCCTGGATCTTTCGAACGGTTTCTAGAAGTTCTGTAACTGCTGGAAATCACATTAGTAGATTCGGTAGAAGTAAAATTGTTAAAACTTGATGTCTGATTAGGTTTAGAAAGTTCTTTGCTGTCAAGTTTTGATGCCTCTAAAGCAATAGCCTTGTTGAGTATTTCGTCAAAACTAAAGAGATTTGATTGTAAAATCTGTTCTTTAAGCCAATCATCTCGAATGCCACGGATGAACTGGGCTCGTAAAAATACATCAGAGATTGAATTTGTTTTCTCGCATTCACATTTAATTGTAAACTCACAATCGACCAAGTCTCGCTGAAGTGAGGCTACGAAATCTGATATTGATTGACCATTCTTTTGATAAATGTTCAAAAAGTAATGTTGAGAAACGACTACATTTTTCTTAGGAACAAGCAATTGAGTTAGAACTTTGACAAGATCATCGTAAGGTAAGTTTTTTATTGGTTTCTCTGGGCCTAGAAAAGCTGATAGGGCATTGTAATGTACTGACCCAATAGATACACATAAGAGTTGAGCAATACTTTCCTTTTGAGTCAGGCCTTTCAGAGTATAGTAATTTTCAAAACGTTCTAGATAATTACAAAACTTTTCACGTCTAGGTTCGAAATTTTCAAATGGAGCAATATTTGTAAGACTTACTGATACCTCCGACTTCTCATGCCTTGTGAAATGTGAGAATAATTGTTGAAACTGTTCTTGTTGTTGCTGTTGAAAAACTTGTAGGAATTCCTTGAATTGGTTAGCATCCATTGTGGTTCAGTCAAATGTGATGAAAGTAGTGTAGGTTGAATGATTGAAACAGATTGAATAATAATTACAGATTATTTGAACATGTAAAATGTCATTATTTCGGTTTTTACTCGTCGCCAAAAAGTGTTGTGACCGTACTATTAAAATACACGCACATTGTAACTTATATAACTTTATTTTTACAACATAGATGTTTTTGTAATGTAATGTTTTTAAAAGTAACAATAACAAGTGTTTTCTATTTAATATTTATCAACAGCTGACTATATCGAATAAAGATTATGACAGTTTCTTTGTTCTTTTTTATGTAATACAGCCTTCATGATCATTTAATGATTTCGTTTGTGTATTTATTATACTAATTGAACCAATTTTGGGATTGTAATATGAATAATACATCTTAGTCTTGTATCAATTGTCCATGCAATCGAAGTAAAAAATATATCAGAGGATACATTGAGTACTGTACAGACATGCTGAAGTGAAATTTTAAATAGCTTTATAGGAAATGTTTTAGGAACAATGTGTAAATGTATACAACGGTTACATACATAAATATACCTATAATTTAAACAAAATCAGTTTCTCGCACATTTTTTTAATAAATACAAATACAATTTCGAAAAGTAATGTTAGGAAATTTTCCTACAATGTATTTTGTTTACTGTATTTCTCTATAAGGGAAGACATTGGAAAACTGAAAATTGTCTTCAAGATTAGACGAACAGAAGGTTAATATAAACTTTAATTACAAACCTAGAAGGTTTGTGTTTAACGACTTAACTTCAAATATTTATGGAGAGACAAAGTTTTCCTGAGAACACGTTGGCATTCAAAAACCCAATGGAAATAAGAGAATATTAAAATATATAATATTTTATCCAACGCACTTTGGTGTAATTAAATTATTCGCCTCCGAAATTGAATGTTTTCAGTTAATTTTTTTGCTATTAATAATAATATTTTTGGTGTGGTTAGGATAATAATGCATATCAAGATACTTGTATTACATGCAATATTGAACCCAAATGAAGTGTTCAGCAACTGGATTCGTGTTTCCAGACGACAGGGGCGTGTAACTCTGCAGATTGACACGTGGAAGGATATTTATTGTAAAACTTTGCATCTCGTCCTGTGACAGTTTCCAAATTTCGAGTAAATCAAATGCTCTTTTAAGGAGCAAATATTGCTTTGTGTGAGAGAAAAACTACTTTTTAAACGATTTATTAGTTTTCGACTAGCCTTAATTAATAAAATAAATATTTCTTGAACCACCAATTAAAGGTCAAGACTATTTTTATAGGCCTAGGTTATTTCGTTCCACGTTTTACTTGAGAACAAAGAAGGTAGCTTTGTGAACATTTTATTTGGTTATCTGAAACTATGTTGTAGTTATAGCTTTTTGGTCATTCATTGGGAATTTTAAAGGGGTCTCAGATCAATACCCCTTCAGCAAAATGTTTAAAGATATAGTCATCTCCGGCGTTTTAAACACTTAAGTATTAAAATACTAAGAACCAAAATTTGGATGGGTATAAAATTAATGTTGTGTATATAAAAATATTTTTTTGTACTCAGATTTTATTTCAAAATAATATAAGCTTTTAACAGTGGATCCGAACTTCAAATAGCATTAAAACTCTTGTTTTCACAAGGTTGATTTTCAACCAAGATGGCTAGCTTGTTGTATGTGACATATTATTTTAATGTTTAACCTACTTTTAACCTGTTTACAACACAGACAGATTGTTTGAGTTGTCAAAGTTGTTGATTAAATAAAACAATTTTTCCTACAGTTACCTAAGGACATGTTCTCTGTACATGTTCAGAGAACATGTCCTTACTGTTCATGCTCACTGTACATGTTCTCTCACTGATTTGAGAAAGCAAAGTGGCCAATTCGCTCATCAGTGAGACAATGTTAACATTGTCTCACTCTAATTACTTTGTCTCACTCCACATTTGCAACGTGAAGGCACGAAATAGTGAGGGCGTACCATGGAGGCAACGTCGTATGCGCGCGAAATACGTTGGCAGCACTGACTGTAAATCAGCTGGTCAGCTGTTGTACTGTTGTATTTGTCACATAAGCCACTTCACATTAAATGTTATGTTAAAAGTTCACTTCTGTGTAAAAATAGGTTATGTTTCTTCTCCAATTTATTTGTTTTATGGTAACTGTAGGAAAAGTATAATGTGCAACTCGAGTTCAAAGTACAATTGCCTCACTCGAGAAACCATTCCTCACTCGCCAACGGCTCGTGAGTAAGGATTTCTCTCGAGTAAGTCAATTGCTCACTTTTCTCACTAGTTGCACAAATAACTATTCTTACATAATGTAATACTAATGGGAAATATTCATAAACGGATAAAATGTTTGACGATGAACCCAAAGAAAAAGACTGTAACCTCCCAATTTAAGATTCTGTCGGTATCGGTTTATCGATGGACAGTCCCCTGGAGTATTTCCTCTTCCCTCGGAAAAGCTTGTCTTGGCTTTCCTAAAGGAGCAAGATAATTAGACCGACTGTACTGGAAGCTCTTTTTAAAGTGCGTATTTTGTTTACTGTAATAGAAGACGATTGACCTATCGTGTCTCATAATTTTATTATTTTACTTTTCTTA